AGCAGTATGATCAGTGGTGGAGTGTATAGAGCAGTATGATCAATGATGGAGTGTGTAGAGCAGTATGATCAATGATGGAGTGTGTAGAGCAGTATGATCAGTGGTGGACTGTGTAGAGCGGTATGATCTGTGATAGAGTGTGTAGAGCGGTATGATCAGTGGTGGACTGTGTAGAGCAGTATGATCAGTGATGGAGTGTGTAGAGCAGTATGATCAATGATGGAGTGCGTAGAGCAGTATGATCTATGATAGAGTGTGTAGAGCAGAATGATCAGTGGTGGACTGTGTAGAGCGTTATGATCAATGATGGAGTGTATAGAGCAGTATGATCAGTGGTGGAGTGTGTAGAGCAGTATGATCAGTGGTGGAGTGTGTAGAGCAATATGATCAGTGATGGAGAGTGTAGAGCGGTATGATCAGTGGTGAAGTGTGTAGAGCGGCATGATCAATGATGGAGTGTTTAGAGCAGTATGATCAATGATTGAGTGTGTAGAGCGGTATGATCAGTGATGGAGTGTGTAGAGCGGTATGATCAGTGGTTGAGTGTGTAGAGCAGTGTGATTAGTGGTGGAGTGTGTAGAGCGGTATGATCAGTGGTGGAGTGTGCAGAGCGGCATGATCAATGATGGAGTGTGTAGAGCGGTATAATCAATGGTGGAGTGTGTAGAGCAGTATGATCAATGATGGAGTGTGTAGAGCAGTATGTTCAGTGGTGGAGTGTGTAGAGCAGTATGATCAATGATAGAGTGAAACATACTGTTTATTAGTTCTGTCAGCTCTACTGAACTATCAGCGTTTGGTGTTAATAATACACTATGCATTCATTAAGATGATATTTACTCTTTAAATGAAACATCAGACCTATTTAGCCATTTGAAAATTGAAGTGTATAGCGCTCGCTGAGAGATCTACAATGTTCTTTTCTATTAAAAAAACACACGGAACGATTAAGATGATGATACGACGTTTAAAATAACAGACGGAACGATTTAGATGTTGATACTACGTTTAAAATAACAGACGGAACGATTTAGATGAAGATACGACGTTTAAAATAACAGACGGAACTATTTAGATGATGATACGACGTTTAAAATAACAGACGTAACGATTTAGATGTTGATACGACGTTTAAAATAAAAGACGGAACGATTTAGATGTTGATACGACGTTTAAAATAACAGACGGAACTATTTAGATGATGATACGACGTTTAAAATAACAGACGGCACGATTTAGATGTTGATACGACGTTTAAAATAAGAGACGGAACGATTTAGATGATGATACGACGTTTAAAATAACACACGGAATGATTTAGATGTTGATACGACGTTTAAAATAAAAGACGGAACGATTTAGATGTTGATACGACGTTTAAAATAAAAGACGGAACGATTTAGATGTTGATACGACGTTTAAAATAAGAGACGGAACGATTTAGATGATGATACGACGTTTAAAATAACACATGGAACGATTTAGATGATGATACGACGTTTAAAATAACAGCCGGAACGATTTAGATGATGATACGACGTTTAAAATAACAGCCGGAACGATTTAGATGATGATACGACGTTTAAAATAACAGCCGGAACGATTTAGATGATGATACGACGTTTAAAATAACACATGGAACGATTTAGATGATGATACGACGTTTAAAATAACAGCCGGAACGATTTAGATGATGATACGACGTTTAAAATAACACATGGAACGATTTAGATGATGATACGGCGTTTAAAATAACAGACGGAACGATTTAGATGTTGATAAGACGTTTAAAATAACAGACGGAACGATTAAGATGATGATACGACGTTTAAAATAACACATGGAACGATTTAGATGATGATACGACGTTTAAAATAACACATGGAACGATTTAGATGATGATACGGCGTTTAAAATAACACATGGAATGATTTAGATGGTGATACAACGTTTAAAATAACACATGGAACGATTTAAATGATGATTCGACGTTTAAAATAACAGACGGAACGATTTAGATGATGATACAACGTTTAAAATAACACATGAAATGATTTAGATGATGATACAACGTTTAAAATAACACATGGAATGATTTAGATGATGATACGACGTTTAAAATAACAGACGGAATGATTTAGATGATGATACGACGTTTAAAATAACAGACGGAACGATTCAGATGTTGATACGACGTTTAAAATAAAAGACGGAACGATTTAGATGTTGATACGACGTTTAAAATAACAGACAGAACGATTTAGATGATGATACAACGTTTAAAATAACACATGGAACGATTTAGATGATGATACGGCGTTTAAAATAACACACGGAATGATTTAGATGATGATACAACGTTTAAAATAACACATGGAACGATTTAGATGATGATACGACGTTTAAAATAACAGACGAAACGATTTAGATGATGATACGGCGTTTAAAATAACACATGGAATGATTTAGATGATGATAAGACGTTTAAAATAACAGACGGAACGATTTAGATGTTGATACGACGTTTAAAATAACAGACGGAACGATTTAGATGATGATACGACGTTTAAAATAACACACGGAATGATTTAGATGTTGATACGACGTTTAAAATAACACATGGAACGATTTAGATGATGATACGACGTTTAAAATAACAGACGGAACGATTTAGATGATGATACGACGTTTAAAATAACAGACGGAACGATTTAGATGATGATACGACGTTTAAAATAACAGACGGAACGATTTAGATGATGATACGACGTTTAAAATAACAGACGGAACGATTTAGATGATGATACGACGTTTAAAATAACAGACGGAACGATTTAGATGATGATACGACGTTTAAAATAACAGACGGAACGATTTAGATGATGATACGACGTTTAAAATAACAGACGGAACGATTTAGATGTTGATACGACGTTTAAAATAAGAGACGGAACGATTTAGATGATGATACGACGTTTAAAATAACACACGGAATGATTTAGATGTTGATACGACGTTTAAAATAACACATGGAACGATTTAGATGATGATACGACGTTTAAAATAACAGACGGAACGATTTAGATGTTGATACGACGTTTAAAATAACAGACGGAACGATTTAGATGATGATACGACGTTTAAAATAACAGACGGAACGATTTAGATGATGATACGACGTTTAAAATAACAGACGGAACGATTTAGATGATGATACGACGTTTAAAATAACAGACGGAACGATTTAGATGATGATACGACGTTTAAAATAACAGACGGAACGATTTAGATGATGATACGACGTTTAAAATAACAGACGGAACGATTTAGATGATGATACGACGTTTAAAATAACAGACGGAACGATTTAGATGATGATACGACGTTTAAAATAACAGACGGAACGATTTAGATGATGATACGACGTTTAAAATAACAGACGGAACGATTTAGATGATGATACGACGTTTAAAATAACAGACGGAACGATTTAGATGATGATACGACGTTTAAAATAACAGACGGAACGATTTAGATGTTGATACGACGTTTAAAATAACAGACGGAACGATTTAGATGATGATACGACGTTTAAAATAACAGACGGAATGATTTAGATGTTGATACGACGTTTAAAATAACAGACGGAACGATTTAGATGATGATACGACGTTTAAAATAACAGACGGAACGATTTAGATGATGATACAACGTTTAAAATAACAGACGGAACGATTTAGATGATGATACGACGTTTAAAATAACACACGGAATGATTTAGATGTTGATACGACGTTTAAAATAACACATGGAACGATTTAGATGATGATACGACGTTTAAAATAACAGACGGAACGATTTAGATGATGATACAACGTTTAAAATAACAGACGGAACGATTTAGATGATGATACGACGTTTAAAATAACAGACGGAATGATTTAGATGTTGATACGACGTTTAAAATAACACATGGAACGATTTAGATGATGCTACAACGTTTAAAATAACAGACGGAACGATTTAGATGATGATACGACGTTTCAATTTTATCACAGCCACATGAGAAGCAATTATCCGTTAAATGAAAGACAGTTATTTTGACGTTAAAACAGTCCTTTTAAGATATATAGAATATCTTGTTGATCATTATCAACTAAATAGCATTATCCGATTCCCATTGTAAAACGAATATCACGTGTTCATTTTGTTATGCCGTATGTTGCTATCCTCACAGGGAACACGCAGGTATAATCTAATGGAGAGCATTTATATTGTTTTCATATATTCGTTTTTTTTGTAATGCATCACAAGAAAAGCGTCGGTTGTTTGAGGATATATTTGTTATGCCGTATGTTGCTATCCTCAAAGGGGAGCACGCAGGTAAATGAAAACGTGATGTTATAACATTGAAACATTAATGGTGAAAAACAAACCCAATATATCTGATTTCAGCATTTCCCAAAGATTTTCGGATACCTTGTTGTATTGTTAATGTTCAACCATAAAACACAAACTTTTGTTGTTTATCATTATATACCACGTGAAACGTAATGAAAAGTATTGTGCCGGACTAACAAGGCTAGACTAGGAAATCTATCCAATATAATCAAATATTTATTCCGTTGTGCAGTTCTTCTGCGCGTTCAAATGTTTGTTATATGATCAGACGTGTGGTGTTTCAAAGACTAGTATAGAAAGACACTGCTTGTTTATAAAAATATAAATAAGTTATGCGTGGGTATACTTTAAAATAGCGTTTCGTGTGGATGTATAATGCGTTACTGCACCGAAAAATATGAATCCAGGCCAATGTTGCAGCGGTTGTTTTTTGCACTATGTTTTCAAATGAACAGACACGCTTTTCTCCCCATTCGGCAAACCTCGGCCGATTCCGGTACCTTTCATCTAAATTAGATGGAGATCTGCCGAGGTGTGCCGAATGGCTTTCTCCCTATTCAAGTTACCTCCCTCCGTGGTTGCATGCTTGTCGTAAAGGGTTATATGGAATCTGGATGCATATCTGGTTGGGTTGAGCCAGTAGGTTTGACAGTGATGGGAGACGGAGAAACCTGATTCTGCTTTGTTTTCAGATACCTTTCATGAATATGTGAGAACTGATAGAGTGAAATGAAAGTGTTTACAAATACAGGGATTGTTAGTGATAGCGACAGAACCCCGGATACTGCGCAAATGCATCCCACAATCCTCCCGAGAACAGTTTTTGGAACGACATCTCCGTAACCAACGGTTGTCATGGTGATCACACCCCACCACCAAGACTCGGGCATGTCCGCAAACGTTTTACTATCCTCGACAAAGTAGGCAAAATTTGAAAAGATGACTACTCCGACAAGGACGTAGAGAAGTAAAACAACAAGATCCTTGAAGTTAGTCCTCATCGTATAACCGAGGACTTGGATGGACGGAACCTTGTTGACATATCTCAGGATTCTCAGCACGCGCAACATCTGTAGGTAGTACAGAATTCGGATACCTTTGTCAGAATAGCGGTATTTAGCGAACCAACCTTCTATAATGATTTCAGTAACTGCAGTGACAAGAATGAGGATATCAATATCATTGAGCTGACTCAGGAAGTACCGCTTGAGACTTGGGCAGGTACTGAGGCGCAAAAATAATTCAACAGAGAAAATGGCCAACAGGACCCAGTCAATAACTACCATCGAAAAATGTCGTTCTTTATGATGAGTGAGACTTTTAAATTTGTCTATAGTTTTCTTCAAACTATCTAGATCAAACGTATAATCGTAGCTTTCAATGTGTGAACTGTTTGTTTCATCGGCCTCATCGATGTAACCCTGAAATTCTTGTACAACGCAGGCCAAATTGTCACCACAGTCGGTCGCACCCAGCACGTCGATGATATCACTGTAATCTTCGCCTTCCTGACTGACTAGGTCGGCCAGGTGACTCCGGAGGGAGCTTAGGCTGATACGCTCTTTAAAGGAATCAACAGTTCCAAGGGACAAATTGAAGATGGACACGACAACACAGACGACTAAAAACGCCATCACAACCTGAAACAACAGTATGTTTATATCATTATTATTTCACGAACCAAAACGTTCAAAAAATATATCACTATTTTTTGTTTTGTTATGATTATTGCATACTGTTTACAGTAAATCACAATACATTGTTAAGGACATTTTTGCCTTAATATTTCCCGGTTATTTCTGCACAAACATTTACACTCAATGGTTGATGCTTTATATTTCAAGGAACAGTAAAACTTTTAATGATTTGGATACCGTTGACGTATATATATACCAATGACATAATTAATAACTAGAAACGCTAGGCTAGTCGGAACTTATATTGACTTAGGGCTTATATGATACTTCTTAAGCCACGGTCACATCTTAAGGTCACGCACGTAGTTAACCGTAATGGGGGTTGACTGTAGTAGACAGTAGGTGACCGTAGTTAAACGTATTAAACGTAGTTCAACGTAGTTGGCCGTATTACACGTAGTTCACCCTACTTGAACTTTCTTTATATTTTCCCTTTTGCCAATTTTTAACCTACTTCAACCTACTTCAACCTCGTTGACTGTAGTGGCACTACGGTCACCTACGTGACAACAGTGTGACCGCGGCTTTATGTGAAACAGATATGTCATCCTCGAGGATACTTATGTATTTATACATAGTAAAAAGACAAAAAAAAAATATCAGGAAAATGCGTTGTATATTTATAATACTTGTAGGAACTTATTTTCATTCAAAACATTGTTCTATTACATAGACGTACTTCAATAGGTTATTGCACGTTACCTGTAAATGATTATTGAAAAAGAAATATTTCATTAATACAAACAGAAATTACGACATAAAAAAAATAGGAAATATTGGCAAATACAACATAAAAGTAAAAGTAATACAGAGTAAAAGACAAAAAACAATATCAGAAAAATGCGTTAATTTAATAAATATATCTATAATTATATAATTATTATAAAGATATATTGATGCAACCAAAATATTAAGAAAATGAAGCGAAATCATGGAGTGATGGAAGCAAACATGTAATCACAGCATAATGACAAACAAATATTAACGGTTTTGCTTATTCAATATTCGATATAATCAAAGCCATAAGAATTGATTAAAATAACAGAAATAGCAGAGAGAACTAACGGCAAGGTAGCAAGTGTGACTTGGTTATATATATATATATATATATATATTATATTATAATATATATTATATTATAATACAATTACTGCTGTATAAATTATTTTTAAGTAAGTTTGAAGTCATATGTAGACGTATACACTCGGCGATAGACATATGGAATGATAGCAAGTTTACGGGATGACAAGCTAACATCGACTGTAAACCGTCACATTTCCACCCGATAATGTTTAGTTCTTCCAACATTCTAATATATACACCAAGTGCTAAAATACTGGATACTGATTGGATGATTTAAATACTGGATACTGATTGGATGATTTAAATACTGAATACTGATTGGATAAATATAGAGGTGTTATACTGTTATGGTACCGATCCTTGTAATAGACATTTTTGGCGCGTAAAGTTTTTATCACTAGGCTGAAATGCCACCATGAGGAATTGTTTTTTTTTTCTTTTTTTTTAGGTAAGTTTAAAGTCATGTGCTATTCTGATATTTTAATTGCCTTCTGTAGATGTCTTATGCTTTCATAGTATTATCTCGGGATTAAATCTTATTTCATCAATATAGTCCTCACCAGAATTTTCACATCGTGTTCGAGGGCGAAAAAGGGTGAAAATAAAGGAGTAAATATATTGCTGTTTGACAGTGAACTGTAAATCTCTCATATTTAATGGGTATTAAGTTTCTCGTTCAAGCAGGAAATGATTAAATTGTTATAGAAAAAAAAAAAAAAAATCAAGGACATCAATACTTGCACAACGATTCACATTAGGGACAGAAACCGTTTGTACGTGTTCACTGTTGCATGCATATATATAAATAAATATTTTTATATTTATGTGCCTTGGTACGTTTTTCCTCTCCAGAAGTCCAAGAAAAATTCGCTTGTTTGGCGATTGCAAACGTTTTGGTAATATCTGTAAGCATATTCTTATTAAGGTTGATATATAATGTAAATAGTTACCCGGGAGAGATAATATAATTACCGCTAATTATTACAGGGAGATGTGTATATCTATCCGTCAGAGATAATATAATAACTGCTAAGAGTTACAGGGAGATGTGTATGTCTATCCGTCAGAGATAATATAATTACTGCTAATTATTACAGGGAGATGTGTATGTCTATCCGTCAGAGATAATATAATTACTGCTAATTATTACAGGGAGATGTGTATATCTATCCGTCAGAGATAATATAATTACTGCTAATTATTACAGGGAGATGTGTATATCTATCCGTCAGAGATAATATAATTACTGCTAATTATTACAGGGAGATGTGTATATCTATCCGTCAGAGATAATATAATTACTGCTAATTATTACAGGGAGATGTGTATATCTATCCGTCAGAGATAATATAATTACTGCTAATTATTACAGGGAGATGTGTATATCTATCCGTCAGAGATAATATAATTACTGCTAATTATTACAGGGAGATGTGTATATCTATCCGTCAGAGATAATATAATTACTGCTAATTATTACAGGGAGATGTGTATATCTATCCGTCAGAGATAATATAATTACTGCTAATTATTACAGGGAGATGTGTATATCTATCCGTCAGAGATAATATAATTACTGCTAATTATTACAGGGAGATGTGTATATCTATCCGTCAGAGATAATATAATTACTGCTAATTATTACAGGGAGATGTGTATATCTATCCGTCAGAGATAATATAATTACTGCTAATTATTACAGGGAGATGTGTATATCTATCCGTCAGAGATAATATAATTACTGCTAATTATTACAGGGAGATGTGTATATCTATCCGTCAGAGATAATATAATTACTGCTAATTATTACAGGGAGATGTGTATATCTATCCGTCAGAGATAATATAATTACTGCTAATTATTACAGGGAGATGTGTATATCTATCCGTCAGAGATAATATAATTACTGCTAATTATTACAGGGAGATGTGTATATCTATCCGTCAGAGATAATATAATTACTGCTAATTATTACAGGGAGATGTGTATATCTATCCGTCAGAGATAATATAATTACTGCTAATTATTACAGGGAGATGTGTATATCTATCCGTCAGAGATAATATAATTACTGCTAATTATTACAGGGAGATGTGTATATCTATCCGTCAGAGATAATATAATTACTGCTAATTATTACAGGGAGATGTGTATATCTATCCGTCAGAGATAATATAATTACTGCTAATTATTACAGGGAGATGTGTATATCTATCCGTCAGAGATAATATAATTACTGCTAATTATTACAGGGAGATGTGTATATCTATCCGTCAGAGATAATATAATTACCGCTAATTATTACAGGGAGATGTGTATGTCTATCCGTCAGAGATAATATAATTACTGCTAATTATTACAGGGAGATGTGTATATCTATCCGTCAGAGATAATATAATTACTGCTAATTATTACAGGGAGATGTGTATATCTATCCGTCAGAGATAATATAATTACTGCTAATTATTACAGGGAGATGTGTATATCTATCCGTCAGAGATAATATAATTACTGCTAATTATTACAGGGAGATGTGTATATCTATCCGTCAGAGATAATATAATTACTGCTAATTATTACAGGGAGATGTGTATATCTATCCGTCAGAGATAATATAATTACTGCTAATTATTACAGGGAGATGTGTATATCTATCCGTCAGAGATAATATAATTACTGCTAATTATTACAGGGAGATGTGTATATCTATCCGTCAGAGATAATATAATTACCGCTAATTATTACAGGGAGATGTGTATGTCTATCCGTCAGAGATAATATAATTACTGCTAATTATTACAGGGAGATGTGTATATCTATCCGTCAGAGATAATATAATTACTGCTAATTATTACAGGGAGATGTGTATATCTATCCGTCAGAGATAATATAATTACCGCTAATTATTACAGGGAGATGTGTATGTCTATCCATCAGAGATAATATAATTACCGCTAATTATTACAGGGAGATGTGTATGTTTATCCGTCAGAGATAATATAATTACTGCTAAGAGTTACAGGGAAGTGTAACGGGTATTTGTAATATTTAACAAATTATGATCAAGTTAATTAGCAAACACGTATCTGAAAAATATGTCAAAAATCTAGATGCCTGTTGTTTGTAGAACATTTTTAACAAAAAAATAAAAAAAATACCAATTCGGCGGCCATTTTGAAAAATGGAATTAATGTGTATTGCTTGAGCTTCAAAAAAGGCAAACATTTCACCTTTTTTGACACTAGATTGATCACTTAAGTTATCATTGTGTCGCCATTTTTAATTGTAGCAGGTTCAATTTTGCTGTACAACTTTATAATGCTTAATATGATAAAAACAATATGCAACAAACTGGAAAATTAAACATTATTGATATTTTATTTTACATTTTTAGTGTAACTGAAGCACTTTTGATTTTTGACCCCGAAAAAGGTAAAAAATAACACAAATGATAATGGGACAAAAAAAAAAAAAGCACACGGACCCCCCATTTTCTGAATGTTTTAGACAAAGTCTTAAGTGACCTATTGCGATCGCCTTTTGTCCGTTGTCGTCCGTCGTCCGTCGTGCGTCCGTAAACAATTTACATTTTCGACTTCTTTTCCAAAACCCCTGAACCAATTTCAATGAAATTTTGCAGGAACCTTCCATGGACAAAGGTCAACAAAAATAGTGTCCGGTTTAGTCCAAAGCCCCCAGGGGCCTGAGGGGCGGGGCCAAAAAGGGTCAAATTGACTAAAATTTCTCAAATATTCTTCTCAAGGCCAAGATATGGTAGAATCAAATACTCGTCATAGATGGAAGGGTCTTAAGGTGCTACCAAAATTGTGAATTTCAAGACCCTGGGGTCTCACGTTTCC